ATGAGTCATATACCCACAATTTGGATGCAGGACTAGGTCAAGTCTATCTGCAATAACCATACAGCCTCATCAGATTTTCTGTCCAGCATCCAAGATCTCCAGATGCTATGTGTCGTGGTGACTAGGCGCGTAGACTCAGGTCGACGTTCGGTGACGACCCCGTGGGCGAGCGGCAAGGAGCCGAAAGGGAAAGAGAGAGAGGAAGAGGGATAAACGTGACAGAAAACTCGACAAGGGCAGAGCAGAGGTCGGCACGAAGGCACAAGATCTACGAAAGCTAGTCTTCACGCAGACAGCGACAGACTAGTCCCAATGACCAAGTTATACATTAGCACTCGAAGGGAAATACAACGCTATGGCCACTCACCTAGTCCCAATGACCAAGAGGTCAAAATGGGGACTAGGGAGCGCCTAAGGGGGTCCTTATATACTAGAAGGGCTGCTTAGCAACCAAGGACAAGGCGCGAGAGCGAGGCAGTGAAGATGACAAAGAGAGAACAAAGGGCAAGAAAGAAAAGGCAAGGGCATGGTGATCACAGGAACGTAGCATGCGGTTGTGGGAACATATCTGCAGTGTCCAAACTGGGATGGGCTAGGAAAGGAAATGGTCCGAAAATGGAAGGTGGGCGTCAAAGGGAAGGGAATGGGCGGCAAAAAGGGGCGTCTGTCCAACGTCCATGACACTATGTGTAGTAGTGTAGCAGTTGGATAGAGTGTGGTGTGTTGTAGAAGCTGGGCAGGGGCCTCTCAATACAAAACAGCTGTAACAATCTATCACAAGCCACAACTTACAGACTGAGCGAGCGCAATGCACATCCCATCAAGTCCAAGCAGAGAAATTATACTCAAACAACATATATCCATGACAACCTCTCTAATCCTTCCCGTCCTTACCATCCTGCCTCCCACCCCCGCTTCCTGTACCGACCCCTCCCGCCTTCCCGCCGCCCCCACCGCTCTTGTCCTCCTTCCCGAAGAAGTTCTCCATCATCCGCTCCCAAGCGACAACGAGCAGCTGCCTCGGCTCGTCCGTCTGCGCCTTCTCCCACACGCGGCCCCAGAAGTCGCGCTGCGCCCCCGAGCTCACGCTCTCCTGGACGACTTCGAGGACGCGGGCGGCGGGGACGAGTGGCCGGGAGAAGAACACTTTGAGAGAGGGGAGAGAGGTGGATTGCAGTGGCAGGGGCAGTAGCACGCATGATGATCTGCGGATACCGTCAGAACATGCAGAAAATGGGGAGGGGAGGCGCATGTCGACGAAGATGACTAGCTGAGCCAGCTGCGTGCAGGATGGAACCCGGTCGAAGACGGCCTGAAAAGCCACGAGCCGCCACGAAAAAATAGTGGGTGCAGAGCGGCGAATTGTGCACACTGGAACGGACATGTGTGAACGCGAAGCGAGTACGAGGCTCGCGCAACACGGAGAGCTCTCAGGAATTCTCCCGGACGCCACGCATCACTGCACGCCCCCTGAGGACAAAGACAAGTAGCCAAAGTCACCCCAGCCAAACGCCAGCGTCGCGGGTTACTCTTGCCCAAGCATAGAACGGGACGAAAGAAAGCGACACTCACGACACATCCGGGAATGGCGGGATATTGCTCATATCCTGGAAAGGATGGAGCTCCTGTTCGCCCGACGTCTGCTCTTGCGGAGGCACACCTCTCGCCCACTCGTCGTTCCTTCTCTCCTTGAGCTTCTGCCAGTCCGTCTGACCCTCCAAATCCCTGCGCATGAGGTCCAGCTTCTCCTGGGCCGCCCACCGGCTGGACGACCACCAGATATACCAGCCCTCCCGCCAGTGCTTGGTCTCCCTCTGGGGATGCGAGTGCCCCGGTCCTAGAGCGGAGTCACTCTCGTCGTGGTGGTGCCCGTCGTCCTCTTCGCCGTCTCCTATGCCGAACTTGCCGTCGAGAAGCATGGCGAGCCAGCCGCTATACCGCTGCCCTTCTGGCGGGAGGGGATGGTTGAGTGGCTGAGTTTCGACTACCTCCTTGGTCTCCACGATAGGTTGCTTCCTCCCGGGCACATGGGTGACGGTTTCAGTACGATGGCGGGAAAGGACGCGGGAGACCTCGTGGAGGAAGACGCGGCGAAGGCAGAAAGTGCGGCACCAAGGGTCGTTGCCGTGTATGCGGCCGGTGATGCTTTGGGAGCAATAGGTGAAACAGCGTTCGTCTACCTGCGGCGAGAACGGACCTGCATGGAGATTAGTTGCCATTCCTACACGGAATTCGGGACACTGTCTGAAGACAGACCTTTGGGGGGCCTAACGATCTTGAGGGACGGGAGACGGTCCCACCAGAGCTCGGTACGGGGCGGCGAGTCCTGAGAGGTGTAGGATGAAGAGGAAGAGCCGGAAGAGGGCTGCATGCAGGGAAGGTAACAGATGATGGTCGAGAACGGATGTGCTCAGCAAGTGAGTTGTACTGTGCAGGCGACAATGCCGCGCAGGTCGGATATTCCCGTCCAGTTTACGCTCCGCCTGAACTTCGATGGCCTACGACTCGGCCAAAAATTCTGGGTTGGCGAGAGACTGCATGCACTGTGCGAAGAACCGCCGTCGCAGCCCACGCACAGAGAGCCCCCCCCTCTCCTCCTACGCTGCGGGGAAAGTCCCCGGAGACGCAGAGCCCGTCCCCGTCCACGCTGCAAAGCTCTCGCCCCCAAGCACGGCGAGTCGGCGGACGGCCGGACGCCTTGCTTGTCTCTCTTCCTCTCTGGTCGAGACCCACCTCGCGCCGGCCAGCTCTGCTGCCCCCAGCGTCCTCTGCGTGCGGCGCGAAGATACGAGCGCCGTCGCCCCGCCCGAGGTCCGCTGCCGCGCAATCGTTGCTCATAGACACAGTTATGCGGTCGTGGCTCTCCCTCGCGGAGACCCCACGAACACAATGGGGCTTACTCTCGTTCAGTGCAGCTTCCTTATTTTTTGCTTCCAGGACGCTCGTTCGTCCACCTATCTGCTGGGCCAGATTACTCGCGACCTTTCAGTCCCAAGGTATGTCTAACTCTAATGCATTCCCTTCATATGATGCTTCTCTTTTGAATTTCTTCAGGGAGTTATACCTCTCTTCCCAGTAACAGAGGACGTGCTCCACAACTTGACACCCCTGATCCTTACCTGTCTCCGTATCCCCGATGATCCGTGAACTCATCCTCTCCTTTCTCCAGGTCGGCGCGCGCGGCTCATCATGAAGTTCGTTAGGATGCGGTCCAATTGTGCACGCGTCGCATGTCGTATCTGTTCCCGCAATATATACCTACTTCCCAATGCTGCTGCGTCCTCAGCCGGCAGATCGTCTCTGCATGCCCAAAGCCCCCTCCCGCCCGCTGCATCGAGGAAAGTCCCTGTATCCGCATACTGTATTGACAGTCAAAAAAAGAAGTCGGACGTGCGCGGTCTTCCTCGCCCTCGTCAATGATGTTCGCCTATCAGTAATTGAGGACACGTGTACGCATACCACGACGCCTCCTGAGCACCGCTCATCCTCCTGTCGAACACTGGCAACGCCCACAACCCGCGGATCTCGGTCTCACTCAGATCCGAGTCGGTGCCATCTGCCTCCAGCACCGCCGCCTCGTGGTGAGCATGCTTCGGACCAACTCCTGTCGACGATTGTTGCGGACGGAACGCGACGTTTGAACGAGCATCCTCCCTCCTTTAGCAGACCGACATTAGGCAACGTCTTCGAGGCGTAAGGCCTGGAAGTCACGACTCAAAAAAGGGCCTGGGGACGATCAGACCAGAGTACACCCTTCAGTATACGTCGTGCGTTCCGCGTTCGCCCAGCCTATAATTCTGGGTGGTATACCGCAATACCTTATTGCTCGCACATCATGTTCGCCAGTCGTCCAAAATCAGTGCAGATATTCTAGCAATACTGTCTCCCAGCGAGGCACTCGCCCGTGGGGATTCACTCCCCGGATACCTACACCTCGGACTTCCGATGTGTTCAGGAAGAGCATTGCACTTCAGACTCTCATCCCGCGACCACAAGAGAAACAACGCACGCCCCAACACCTACGCACTCCCACGCACACACACTAGGTTTCACAACCAGATCGAAGAGCAGGAACATTGATGATGAGTAGTAGCAGTAAGATCAGTGAACAGGCGTCCAAACCAATCGCTCGTCCAGTCCGCCTCGCCCCCTCCCTGCTCCCCGTCACCTCGTTTTCCGAACCCCCGCCGCCTAGATCATCCACGCCCTCTGCCAGCACACCCGTCCCCGAAGCCAATACGTTATCCTTGAAACCGAACCTCGCGCATGAGTCTCTGAGTGCTCCCCTCCATCGAAGGTCGTGAAGGGCGTGGCGTGAAGTGGATTGTCGAGCGTCGAGGAAGTTATCATGAAGCGTGAACAGCGTTGACGGAGGTGTTGCGAGACTCAGAAGACTCGAGCGCATGGTGTTGGGATCAAGGACCTTGAACGGACAGGAGGAGACGGTACGGTGAGGCAGACACCCTTCCGAGAACTCATTCGCTCTCTTGGATGAGTGCGAGAATCATTCTGTGGGAAGTACGAGTGTCAATAACAGGTAGCACCACGTGCCAAGCGTCCGCGATACGCGCGGGGCAAATGACGTAAACGGTAGCGGGACATGGATTGCGCGGACACGTCGCGATACGCACCTGTAGAGGTAGTAGAAGAAGCTGAGGAGATAGAACCCCAGCTTGATGAAGCTCTCTTTCTTGTGACTTGGTAACGTGCGGAAGATTTCCGTTGCGTCGTACATGTGATTCCCGCCCCGTATCCTGTCATTTGATCACGCGAGTTAGACATTTGTCACATACGAGCGGAATAATTTAAGGGACAGGAGACGGGGATCTGAACCAGACACGGAACAGGAGTAAGACGTAGTAGACGCACTTGTTTATGTTGAACGCCAGTAGTGGTGCATTGAGGAGGAACGCTATCCATTGGCCAGAAAGGAGGAAGAGGAGAGAGAGGAAGGCGTGCGCAATGTTTTCGGGAAGGACAAACTGACATTGACGACATAGAGTCAGGAATGCCCATTACCGACGCGACGTGGGAGACGTACTTGGTTGAGCTTATTGCAGAGGTCTATAGGATTGATGTAGTCGCACTCCAGATCGGAGAACATGATGATCTATAATTCACAGGTCAAATACGAAGCATGTGTTGTCAATACGGAGAGGACAGGGAACCAGGATACGCACGAAGAGTTGTCCTCCGCATCCGTAGTCTGGTGGGTCGGGAGGCGAGAGAGGGGATCGGCTTGGGTGTTCGTCTTACCAGGCTTATGCGTGAGACGGAAGTCGAAG